CTTTACTTAAACTATGCAACATGCAGACTAGTGAAGGTCAGTAAATGTAGATGGCAGGAGGGAAATGCCTTTCAACGCAAGTGCATTTGATGGGTGTATTGAATGGAAATGTAATTAAAAGCAAACCATTTGCAGCTTTTCATTCGGCAAAGAGGTAAAAATAAGGCCTTTCCCTCCATAATAAAAATAAAAACTGACCTTCATTACCATCACTAAATGAATATGCCTAGCTCACATTGCTTCCAATATCTTATAAATATTGCGCCCTTGACTTAAGTTTGTGATTCACTGAATACATTTGTTTGGTGAATTTAGAGAAAGATTTTCAAAAGGTGCTGCTGTGAAAATATCATGTTAAATGTCAAGTGGAGGTCTGGCTGCTTTTCTGGCGCACTATATATTTTTTTATAGGGATGTTTTCTCAGACCGCAGTGATCCTCGCAGCGCTGAGGGAGGAAGAGGCCACTGATGATAGTACAGGCGAGGGCAGGAGTCAGGAACACCATCTATGTGTCTTGAATGCAGGAGTCGCAAGCTTCGACCTTCTCACAAATCTGCTCACTGTGAAGGCTTGAGTTGAAGAAAGACACGAGCTGTTTTTGTGAGCAAGAGCAATCCTTTGTGGAGCTTTTTATTTTTTATTTATTATCATTTTCCTTCTACAGTTTCTCCAGGCGTGAAAGCCAACAAAGTGTATCAGCAGATACAGCTCTACAACACCCGTCCTCGTAGTATACGACTAGAAACCAATTTCGTCGGGTAGCAGTGAAAAGAAAAAGAAAAGAATCAGGCCAGTTCTCCGGGGAGAGATAGAGGGGCAGAATGTAAACTTCCCTGGCAAGCCATCCCTGGTGGATTGAACAGTAAAAAGAAGCTCACTCAAACCCAAGATAAACTGAGCGGACAGTTTGCATTACCTGATTAAGTGAATCACATTACGGATTATGTAATGACTGCAAAATACAATACATCACTCTTCATGCACTCGTATAAATATGTTATTAGAGTCCTCTGGGCCTGAAATACTGCACGTAGGAAGCTTCAGTGTGTGATTAAAAGAGCAGGTCACAAGAAGAGTGATTTATATTTATTCTAAGCTACTGGGGTTCCTTGAAAAACTATTCTTAAAGGAGAAATTCCATATTTGAAAGGATAAAGACTGTAAACATCGCTCCGTGGCAGCAGCACAGAGATAACAAGAGGAAGAAGTGACTCAGCTCAGCCAGGAAATAATCCACCACATTTTTGTAGGGATTAAACAAACAGGATATAACATGTTAATTTGTGAGCTTTTAATTTGATAGTAGTACAAAGCCCAGATAGCTTGCTTCCGGACTCAAAGCTAAGCTAAGCTAACTAGCAGCATCATGCTTGCAGCACAGACATGAAAGTGGTCTTTCTTCTAGAGGACAGATTGATGCTTTGTTTCTTTACATTTTGTTCAGTTTTAAAAGGGAACGTTGCTTCATTCACGAGGCCCTCTCACAAAACACTGCATTTCAAAGCCTGGCGTGAGCTGGAATTTGAATTATGATAGCAATCATCTCTCTGCCTCACAGGTTTTAGAGCCACCGCTGTCGAAGCTGCAGGACAGCAGCAAAGGTCACTTGTTTCTCTAATTAATTACTTCACTTTGTGCGGGCATCTTTGGTTTCACTCTTTATGCATCTATGAGGACAGTACAGAGCTTTGTTCACTTATTAGACCATACATAAAAGATCAAAAACAATATAATTATCATTCTGCCATTTCAGACCCACTTGTCTGGTAGAATTTTTCATATGTTGCCTGTGAGACACAAATACATAACAGTGCACTTAATTCACTTTGGCAGCGTGCCAGGAAAAGTTAGGACACGCTCTTGGAAGAAAAAAAAAGAGCTGTTTCCCACAATAACAATGGCACACTTTATTGCTCTTTAGCTCACAATGGTTTTTCTGTGCAGCTTGTGGTATTGCTGCAGTATCCTGTTATGGGGAACAATCCAATTCCTCTGACATAGGCACAGATCAGCCGGAGAATAACAATCAGTAATACCTCATTCAAGTAAAACAACGAGCAGCTACTTTGGGGCTTTATTCTATTTATGAATAAAAATCCCCTCCAAAAAAGTGGAGCATATATAGCTGCATCATAAAAAAGTCATTTTGTCAATGAGCCAATATTACGCAGAATTACAGTCATTCAGCTAGGCTTTAGGGTACTTTTATATCTGATCTGCTGCAGCTGTGGCATGAATATTTCATTCTGGTAGTACGCAGCATTGCAGTGGCATATTTCATATTTCTATGCAAACCCTTGCTCAGGGTAACGTGCATTTGCCTTGATGAATAAGTGATCTCTCTCACTCCTTTCCAAGTCTCTGTTCCGCTCATATTGTTGGACTGTCAACAAAGGCCACACGCCAAAGACGTGAACAAACAAACAAATGCATAAGTGAAAGCACCCCACTGATTGTCTGGGTGTAGCATGTGTCCATCTATGTGTGTCCGTGTGTGTCTGCATATGCGAGTGTGTGTGTACTGTATGTGTGTGTTGTGTGTGTGTGTGTGTGTGTGTGTGTGTGTGTGTGTGTGTGTGTGTGTGTGTGTGTGTGTGTGTGTGTGTGTGTGTGTCTCTGGTGTCCTGCCAGAGTCTGAGCTCGTTCTGCTGAGTGGGCAGATTCTCTGGCTGAGTGTCCCATCGGAGTGACAAGTGCATTTAGAAACAGCCTGATGGAGTCATTAACGGCAGCGCTTCTCATTAGCAACACACACACACACACACACACACACACACACACACACACACACACACACACACACACACACACACACACACCACACACACACACACACACACACACACACACACACACACACACACACACACACACACACACACACACACACACACACACACCACACACACACACACCACACACACACACACACACACACACACACACACACACACACACACACACACACACACCACAACACACACACACACCACACACACACACCACACTGCAACCCTCAGTAACAATAGCGTCATCGTCAGGTTATAACAGATAAACAGATAAATCTATAAAATGTTGACGATACAGCACATTTATAGAAATCCATGATATGGAACATAATATCATTTAAGAAGCAGGCTGACACTTTTATTTATGAAAGCAAGCAATCACCCCCACACACACAAGCACAATCAAACTGTATTGATTACTGGAATAACAACAAAGCATCCATTATTGATCCCCTTGTCCTTTTTGCGTATGAGAATCGAGCAATATCGAGTAATCAAGGGCATTACAGCATCGCACAGACACAAGAGCCTCTCTTCCTGGAAGACCCCGAGCAGAAAAACTGCACAAGACTCTTCAATAAATCACAATTGTCTTCAGAGAAAAAAGGATCATGTTGCTAAAGCAGTTTCACTTCCACAAAAGGCTTCAAGCATTCAATGATTATTATAAATACATTAATAGGGGATTATAAAGCTACATTTCTGGCTTAATTCACCAGGATGAATTCTTACAACCTGACAAGACATGATGGTATTTTTAGCATGTTTGCTAAGCTATATTATCCAATTATAATCAGCATTAGACATGACATCACAGCCATGTGTGTGAGAGGCAAATAACTGGGAAACGGCTTCAAAAGGAACATTATGTTCTTTCTGATTATTAGAGTCAAATGCCAGAGTTTCCTATTTGAATCCGATGACTCATCCGCCGAGGCATCCAGCTTTATGTTGGGCCTGATTCATAGGTAATGCTGCCGTGAGACCCAGCGTAAGAATCAAACAGTCTCCGACACTTAATGGCACCGTAAACATGATGAATATGCCAGACAGCCATTTAAACACAAACAGCAATGATCCTCAAAGCTCCTGAGATACACAGCCAATTATGATCTGATCTGATGGATAAGCCGGTGTCAGAGGTGCCCGTTTGATATGGCTCAATTATTTAGAGACAGTACCAGCTGATTTATGTGATTTTTTTTGCTGTCTTTGTTGTTGTCGCACCCGGAAAAAAATAGAGCTGTTAAACTGTGGGTTGGAAATGCGTTTGCAAAACACGCTGTCATTACCTCTATGCTGCGTATAATAGTGTGATTCTCAGCTCATTATATCGGGAGGATTTCCAACTACACACTGATGAATTACTCTAGTGAAGACAACACTTGTTAAATCAACCAAGGGACAATAAACATAAGCTGATTTATGGCGGAGACAGGACACAAACACAAACAGCAGAGTAGAGGAAATGTCAACACTGCAGTAACCTTTTCGAATGAAATTATTTAAAGACAACTTAAAGGTCACCTATTGTGCAAAATCCTCGTTTTCATGTCTTTTATACATAAGCATGTGTCCCCTCTGTGTAAAGAGATTCTGAAAGTTTCAGGAAAAAAGATTCTCTCACTTTTTGTCCTGATCCATTTCTATAAAAACCTGTCTGAAAATGAGCTGATCAGATTTTGGCCACTTTATGATGTCATAACGATTTTTTTGGCTTGTGTAAGGGGCGCCGCCAGGGATTTTGGGCCCCATGAAAAGATATCACATTGGTTACTTAAAAATGTTTTTCTTAATGTTCTAAAATTGTTTGGGCCCCTGTCAGTCACGGGTCCTTAGAATCGTCCTAACTTTTCACCCCCTTAAGGCGCCCCTGTGTGTAACCATTAGCCAATCACCAACCAAGGTAACTCCCCCCCCTCCCACACCTGTTCACCTGAATCTCCTCCTAGAGCCCCATTGTGTTCTTTGTAACCAAATATCTCTCAGAGGGGCGTGGGGAGGGGCTCCTTATTTTCATCTAAAGTAACAGACAGAGAATCAGCACTTTGGAAACAGGGCTGAAACAGAGGGGATTATGGGATGCTGCAATGATCTGTTTGGTGTTTGGAGCCAAACACTTCAGAGACATGTTCTCTATCATATATTGATGAAAAACAGTATAATAGGGGACCTTTAAAGAAAGAGTGAAATAAATAGAGGTTTCTCACCTAGCTGTGCTCTCTCCCGCTGGACATCCTTGAAGTTGAGTCCGCTGGTCAGTGTGCTCTCGCGGTACCGATGAAGGGCCTCTCGCCTCCCGTTGGTCCCCAGCTCCCGGAGCACGGAGGCTTTGAGAGGCTCGGCCTTCAGACAGTGGGTCCATCCCGAGAAGTCTGGTACCGTCCACTTCACCAAGTCCTCCAGACGCACAATCACCTTCTCAGACACCGCAATTACCTCGTGCTGAAAGGAAGCGGGCGGAATCACAATTACAATCAGAAGCAAATAACGGAAGTCACATAAAGAGCAGCTGTGTCAAAGTCGTGCAGCTCTTACTTTTCCCACAATTTCATGACTCTGAAATAGTTTTGAGGAACAGACACATGTTTTAAAGATAATATAAGTATATTTATATTTCAAATCTATTTCCCTATGTAAAGAATTTGTAAATTGCTACAGTATCTCTACTTTAGTTATGCCAACATGAGATTCTAATTAGGGCTGTGCGATTATGGCAAAAATCATAATCACGATTATTTGGGTCAATAATTGATATCACGATTATTTTGACGATTATTCATTGACCATTTATTGAACTTTAAAACAAATAATATTTTACCAATAAACAAGATCAACAAATATGTTGGAGCGCACTTCCAAAACCATACTAAACATATATTATTAATATGATAAATAAAAATAAATTAGACCAAAATAAATGAAATCAAACATGTTGCAGTGCACTGTCACAACCTACTGAAAACTCCTTAACATATAGCCAACATTTTGGTAAAACATATTCAACATATTCCACTCAGTTAAACGTTGAAGGCTGGCCAACCGTCATGGTCCAGAAGTAACAGGAAATAAATGCAATAAATACAATTTAAGACCAAATAAAAATGTTTAGGCCACCATGGCAAATGCTGGTAGGGCTGCTCATGTCATCTCTTAAAGATTGTTCGCAAGAAACACCAGCCTGTTTACATTGTCTGGTTTCAGAGATGAGCGCAGGCAGGTGACAATATTGCCACCTGTACTGAAGACCCTCAGCCACGCCCCGACACATGGGGTGACGCCGGCCAATCACAAAGCTTTGATGCGTTCAAGTGCATTATTCTGGCACAGGAAGATTATGTTACAGGACATTAATGATAAAACAGAGTATTGTTGTTCTATTTTTAGACACATCTCGCGATCGACTGGTTGGGCACCCCCGGGCTAGACCATAGGTCTGTTGTGGTAGCAAAGTAGTCAGCTGAAGCCACATCTCTCTCAACTTCCCCACGGCATTTGTCATATAGTGCAGGCAGCGCAGACCTGCTGAAATAATACCGAGACGGCATCGCGTAACGCTTGTCCAACGTGTTGACAAGTTGCTTAAAGCCCTGGTTGCTAACAGTGCTAACTGGGCACATATCTTTAGCGATGTGAAATGTAATGGCACCTGTAATATCTCTGTGTCTCTGCGAGCTCGTCGCGTAGGCCGTTGCTCTGTACAATGCGTCCTGAATCGATGACTGTGATGATGTGGTGGATGAAGTCGAGCGGGCATCTGCTTTTTGTTGTATTATTGCCTGGTCGTATTGCACTTTGTGGTTGTATTTCAGACGATTAAAGAGATTGGTTGTGTTAGCGTGTGGTGCCAACACAACCTGGTAACAAATCCTGCACTGTACTTTGTTTTGCTCCACGTCGGACTCCTGAAAGCCAAAGTACTTCCAAATAGTGGAAATAGTTGTACCCTTCTTTTTAACGAGTTGCTGCTCTTGTTCTGACATCTTCGCTCGCGCTGAACACTCACAACACATGTCACTCCCACGTGGCCGAGTGGGCTTTTAGGGAGGGGCGAAAGCGCACCCAGCAAAAATAATCGTATTTTGTCAATTATGCTATTTTCATAATCGTCGCAAATCGTAATCGCGATTAAAATACGATTAATTGCACAGCCCTAATTCTAATCATATATTTGTACAATATATCTGTACATTAAATTCACCTTTAAGATTTTTGAAACTTACAAGGTTTTTCAGTTCCATAAATTCACCCATTTACCAGAAATACAGTTCATTTCTACATTATTCCTGATGCTTTGTTTCTCAAATATACATTTTAATCTCAAATCATTTGGACTTTTTCTCTCATTTAAACAACTTTCGGATACTTCTAGGCATTTCTTTCTGACTTACATGATGTGTGCTGTTTTAAAATATACAAATTAACTTAATTTTAGAGCTTTTAATTGAATAAACACTAGTTTAGGTGGTTCTTAATGAGTAGTATTGTTTACAATTATAGCTCTCGTTTCAAGTATGAAACTCTGATTTGTTTTATGTGCGTTTCCCCACGCAGTGTGCGACAGTGGTGGAAAAAATGTGCAACAAACCTTAACTTAAAGGTCATCTATCATGCTATTTTTAGGCAATAGCATGGGTCTCAGATATATCAAAAATATATAAAAAACATGTCTATGAAGTGTTTTGCTCAAAATACCAAACAGATCACCCATTCTAGCTATGCCTCATATCCCTCCATTTCACTTCCCGATTCAAAAGTCCTGATTTTGGGTATAAAGCTTAAAAAATCATAAAAATGGATAACAAATAAAAAAGGAGGGGGCTGAGCTCATGCGGGACCCGGCAGCTACTGTCTAAACTAAATACTGCCGTGATGAAACGCCATATTATGGATTATCAAGGAGTATTTCTGAAACAGTCTGGAGCTCAAAGGCTTTCTCTCTTGCCGGTTATACCACAAGGTGAGTTCCTTTTTATTTCCTGCTTCTTCACACACATGCTCTCCAGTACAGGTTAGCTCTGAGTGTTAGCGATGCTAATGTAAACACCGACCATATTACGTCCAAACAGTCAGGCATTGTTTCTGATAGCAACGTTTCTGATTGGGCCGTGGGTCCACATTTCAGATATTACGTCATATCGGACGCAAATCTGGATCAGCTCCGTTATAGCCCCGTTTTTAGAGATTTGGGTACGGAGGAAAAGAGAGAGGGTTTTATTTTCTGACGCTGCGTGAGTTCCCCGACACACCGGGGACACATATTTATGTATAAAAGACATCAAAAAGTGCATTTTGCATGAGAGGTCCCCTTTAACTAGAAGCAGAAATACCAAAGACTAAAAATTGAAAAGATTCAATTTATCAACAAAGTACTCACTTAAAAGTACAAAAGTCATCAAAATATGCTTAAAACATGAAAAGTGAAAGTACTTTTTATGCATCCTCTTTTTGCACATGCAGAACATTTAAATGTGTAATACATTTCAGACACTTAACTGCATATCATACTCAATCTAATAGTAGATTAATAGTATAATACTGCATCATGTCATATACTATCATACGTTTTAAATAATGTAAAGCCTTAATCACCAAAGTAACTACTGTGAGTGTCAATATTGTAGTGGAGTACAACAATATGATTTCCCTCTGATATGCAGTGGAATAGGAGTAGCATAAATAAAAAATATTCAAGTACTTTAAATGTACTTGACTCTGGCAGAATGAAGTGAATATAAACATATGTGAATATAAACTTTAAATGTACTTGACTCTGGCAGAATGAAGTTAATATAAACAAAGTAAACAAAAATGGGATTTAAATAAAGGTAAATATTATAATCAGAATCAGGATCGAGTACGAACAACAGGACGTCCTTATTTATCAACCAAATTGGTATGTGCGTCAAGGAGCATTACGGCTGTGGACACACATTAATGTAAGTAAATTACGGCAGCATGAATATGGATGATGTGGATGATTGCTGAATTGAATTTATGCCAGCAGTTAAATCAAAGTCAATGGGGACGTCGGAGATGTTTTTAGACTTTTTGATTAGCATTTAGGAAGTCAGGCTCCCGATATTCACTGTGAACGTTGATATTTTGATGCTTTTAAATCACAAGTCACACTCGACAGCTGTGATTACACCTTCAAAGTGTGGAGGAGTAGAGGACATGTAATTTGTTACAGGCAGAATGCAATGATTGAACAGGGGAAAGCTGTGAGCCAGTGGTCTCTGTGACACACAATAAAACTAATGTGACACTCAGGACACAAAAAATATATATTCAGCAGTGATGTCTGACACGGAGGTAAGCTGAATATAACGGTGGTGGGTTTGTTGCTTTATTCTGTTCAGTTGGCTCTCTTAATAAGATTAGCTCTATGTATGTGCTTCAACCTTTTTTTCTAAAGGTTGATTTTAATAACTCTCATACTCGAAGTCCAATAGTGACGCAAAGAAGCGGAGATGCTTAAATGTGTTTCCATTTGAAGGGCTAATGGCTGAAGTGCTTGTTACCGACAGAGTGGAGTAGCATGCTGGAAGATGGCTATTAAAGAAACAGAGAAACCTGGAGCACAGATGTGTACAGGCACAAACACGGACATGTCTCTGATGTTTACCTTGCTTACCTCCAATTTAACAGGCATTTGTTTGACAGTATGCATTCCCCTTCAACGAGCCTGTACATATACCGCCAATAAATTAACTTTAATTTACTGTATTGACATATTTACGCACAGTATGTGTGAATGTAGAGAGGGCATCACAATAAAAGCTACATGTACATGATTTAATAAATAAATCCTTCCCGTGTCAAGCTTAAAATGTCAAGTTTTGTGGTCGTTTTGGCATTTTAAGCTGAATTTACCGTGTTTTAACGGATTATTTCAAGGTGTTCGTGTTATTTTGTCGACATACTCTAAAAACAAACATATGACTTTTCAGCGGTTCAGATTCTTTCTGAGTGCTCTGTCTATACAATTACCCATATTCAGTTCTCATAACATCTGCAACTAGAGGCATATCAAATCCCAACCAGTTGGAGAAAGCATTTCCTTATAAAGGAAAAGTCTGCGAGGGATAGCTTGATATAGCTGTGCCTCCCTCACTAAGTAGAAACATCAAACATGGGTTTTCGGTCTTCTTATAATGAGCTGTCTTCAGCTGTCAAGTGGTGGCGGGTGGTTGTAACCGGCTTTCCATGCAGTGAAAAACTGACTGCTGTTTTTGCCTTCAGAAAAGCGGGCCATTTGTATAATATAGAGCAACAGTAAATAGCACTCAGCCTGCAGCCAAAAAGCACATTGTATCTCTACAGAATTAGCTACTGTACTTTGATGCGATCTATTGACAGCACATAGAGAAAAAATACCCATGAAATAAAAATAATGTATTGAATGTTCTGCTGCTGAGGCAAACAGCAAGTAATTCAATAGC